TTTAATAATTTATAAAATTAAATTAAATTAATTTATAAATAATATTTATTTATTTAAATTGTAAAAATTGATCTCGGACTAATTTTCGTACCCGGTATTACACTTTTTGTAAAGATATCTCGTAGATAAAGTAGAATTGTTAAAAACTATTTAAATATTTTTATTTAATAAAAAATATCAAATTACCTAAATTTAAGATTGATTAAAGTAAGAATATTGTGTTTAAGTATTTGAATAAAGTTAATATTATTCTTTTTATTGTTCACTTGCGATACTATTTAGGAATTTCTCAAATTTATTATAAAACTATCTAAAATATTTATCAAGTGATAGTTCAGTGAATATAAAAAAAGAAAAAAAAAACTTTCTGGTTGGCAAATCCATTATTTATTCATAGCAAAAAGAAAAATAAAATAAAACATATTTCCGTTAAGATTATTACCTTTAAAATATATTCTTATATTATGCAGACTACCATTCTAATTATTTATTTATCACTAATCATATTGTTCGGCTCAATAGAAATTATTTGAAATATTTTTATTAAATAGAATAAAATTTTTCATATCAAGAAAACGGATGGCTTTGAAATTAGCAATATAAAAGAGATTAACATGGAGCTGGGTTAAAGATTGATTAAAGAATTCACAAGCATATTGACTGGTATCTTAGAAGCTAAATACTTTATGAATTGCACAATATCTTTGATACCACCTTTCCCCATGTTTTAGATTTTCAAAATTGGAGAGGCTTTTTCAATCATGATTAACTTCGTAAGACATAAATCCAACATAGAGTTTTTTTTTTTATTAGGGACATGATCAACAATTTGTTATATACCAAAGTAGCACGTATTCATGTTCAAAAAGTAAATTATAGAGAAAGGACTCCCTTCATATGATTAGTCCATACTTAGCATGAGTCTAATGAAGTGATTAGCGAATGACGGCAATATAAAGTCGTACAGTGAGAGACTGACAGCCCACGGGACAGACCCCAGCTAGCTGTATCGTGGAGAAAAAAATAATATGACTGACCTGTCACCGTCGTTTATTATTATTTTTTATTTTTAATTCAATTATCACAGACCACAAACACAATCCCAAACCAGAGAAGTATCAATCATTTCAACTTCTCTCTTTCGTTTGTATAAATACACTCTTTTCAACCAGATGGAAAACAAACAAAAAACCTATTCATTCATCTCCTTCCCCAAGATCACAACCAGGCCTTGTTTCCAATTCTCCACAACCTTCCTCCTCTTCACTCTCTCTGCACCTCCCCTCTCTTCCTCCCTCTCAAGATTCACTTCGTCGTCTTCATCCTCAACAAGAACTACTACTACTACCTTCGACGCTGAAATGGTATTTGGATCCTTTACCCGATTCCTTCTTTAATATAGACGTGTATGTATGTGGGTATCTTTGCTTTGTTCTTTTGTTCGCAAGGTGATTGAAGGGATTGAGTTTAAAACAGGTGATGGGATCCAGTAATTCTGATTTGGCAAATCTTAACTCAAGCGGAGCGATGGGAGAGCCTTCTATATCTTGCACTACTTTCAATATCTTAGCTCCTATTTACAAGCGACTGGATCAACAGGTGATTTACCTTTGGTTTCATCCCGAAGGTTGTCGTTATCTTTTTCTTTTTTTTAGAAAAAAAAAAAAAAATTAAATGGGCATGGCTTTAAGTTGTTAATTTCGCATCGGTAAATGGAACAGAAGAATCAAAACACTCGTGAAAGTGATTTCAGGGCATTCTGGTTTTCGAGGAACCAGAGGATTTTGGATTGGTTGCTTTACGAGAGATCGTCTATTATCTGTCTCCAGGTGGTCTTTGTGTATCCTTATCTTCTTTTCCCATTTAATCTACTTTTGTTTGTTTTTCCTTGAGTCAATTTGACTTTTTAGTAGATCATAAACTATATAAAACAATTTGACTTTCGATTTGTGAACGTTGCTGACTTAGTTCCGGTTTTATCTTATGATGTCTATTTCCAATAATAGGAGTTTTGGGTTGGCAATGAAGAACTGGTTCATATGTACCAGGAGAGGCTTGGTGATGCAGGCTACATCACCTTCAAGCTTGCAAGAACCAATAACCGGGGAGATGGTAAGTCTTCTTGACGTGATTTCTGATACTTACTGGACTTGGTTAGCAACATATACTTCACGCAAATTTTGACCCAATTGATTTGATTGACACTTGCACTTTTCACATCTATCCTTTGGAAATAAAACGCACCAAATCTTGGTTTATAACGAACGCATACGTTTCTGATTTCTTAAATATACTTGTACAAGACTTTCTGATTGCTTCTCTGCTGCTATAATAGACGGAATAATTAAAATACAATGCATTTCCAACTTTGGGGGTGAT